TTATTATTAATTATCCAATATCAGTTATTATCAATTACTCAATATTAATGAATTAATATTAGATACTATCGGTCTTATTATTAATTTATCAGTTATTATTAATTATATCAATTATTATCAGTAAATTAATATCAGTTATTATCAATTACTCAATATTAATGAATTAATATTAGATACTACTGATTATTAGTTATCACTCGTGAATTAATATTAATTATTACTGATGAAAAAAGTTACATAATAGAGGATTATATAATTTTGATTATTCATTAATAATTAATAATCAGTCAGCAATCATTCATTATTAAGTAATACTCTCAATATAAAATTACATAATATCAATGCAATATTAACATATTCAATACTGAAATACTTCATATGAAATTAAATGAATTAATAAAAAATAAGAATGAAATATTTTCAAAATGCAAAAATTAACGATAGAAAATGTTACATTTATTATCATTAATAAACATTCATTCTATTACAATCATTTTTCATTTTTTTTTTTTATTTATTTTTAATTTCGAATTTTTTTTCATTTTGGGAAAAAATCTTCAATAGGTGAATAGATTGAAAAAGATTTAATTCAATTTAATTTATACATTTGATTATAAAAAATCGAATATCTTCTTTATTTTATTATTATTATTTTTTATTTGAATAAATTTTCAATGATATTATTTTATTGATACATATAAAATGCAAAAAAAAAGAAAGAAAGAAATAATTTTTGTTAATATTTTGTAATGAAAACGAATTTTTTTCATCAATTTATTTTATCAAATTTATTACATAAAATAAAAATGAATTTTATATATTTTTTTTTTTTGAAATAATTTATTAACAAATAAATGTGCATTGAAATGAATAAAAATGCTTATTCATGCAAAAAAGAAGGAAAAATTCTTTAATAAAAATGAAATTTTCAATAAATTTAACAAATTATTTAATCTATTTAACATATATAAATTTTTTCCAAAAAAAAAATATAAATAAAAAACTTAAATTAATAATAAAAATTGCTTAATGTAATTAAAAAATTATTTAGCAATTATTTCTTTATCAAAACAATTTCATACATATATAAATTTTTTTTTTTTTTTTAAGATATTTGCCATTTCTAAAAAATCAATTAAAATATATTAACAATTTCAAATAATTTAAAATTTTTTCAGTAATACATTACTTAAATTATAATAAACAATTTTCTATCCTTTTTTTTTTTTAAAAAAAAAAAGAGTTTAAAAGAGAAAAAAATAGTAAACGCTAAAATTTAAAATATATTAAATAAAATTATTGTTAATTTCTAAAAATTAATTGTTCAAAAAAAAAAAATAAATTTAAACAAAATTTATATAATTGAAAATTTTTTAATTTATAATAGTAGAATTCAAAATAAAAGTCAAAATCATCATTGTATGCATTTTAACTAAACGTTCATCAATTACCCATTAAAAATTTTTCTTTTTTAGGTCACAGCACCCAATGCACATTCATCCGTATAAATTTGACATACATTTATTTACACAATCATTTTGTAAAATGTCACTGATATGATAGTGTATCAAACATTTATCACTAAACAATTACGTAATACTGATAATAGTTTTATCAAAATATTTATCAGTGTATGTATCTTATTACATAATTAAATTATGTAATATAAAATATTACATAGATAAATTTAAGTATTATAAACTATTCCATAATAATATATCAATTATATATTTCTGTCGGTAATATGTAAAATTTTAAATTTTTATGATAATTTAATGAATTGATAAATAATTTTTTCAATAAACAATATTTTATCGATTTTGTTTTTTTGTCTTTTATCGAATAGATTAAAAATTTTTTGTGCAGCAATCAATTAACAATTTCTTATTATATGCAAGAAATATGTAAAAAAGATTTTATTAAATTTAAATTAATTAATTTTAAAAACTTAAAAGATTTAATTGAATTTAAATTGATTAATTTTAACATGCAGCAGTTATGAATTTTTTGTTTTATTAATTTTTGATTTTAATTAGTGAATAGTTTGTTAAAATATTTTTGCTTTTTTCGTTTTCATCTTCCTATTTGTTTCCTAAACTAAAACTTAAAAAGTCAATAAATTTATAATAGCTAAAACATTTAATAAATTTATGACAATAATTTTTATTTTTCAATGAATTTAAAATTGATTTAAAATTGAAATATAATAAAGAAAAATATGCTAAAAGTGATCTGCTCCTGTTGAAATTGGTGATAAATTTTTAACACTCTCGAGATAAGACAGATAAGCAAACAAATATTGTTAGTTTAATTTAATTATAATCTGATAATTTTCAAACATTAAATGAATTATGCCTTTTTTTAAATTTAATTTACTTAAATTATTTACTCGATTTAATTTAAAACAAATGTTTTAGAAATGAAATCATATGATATGAGTAATTTTTGTTTTCCTATTTTAAACATTATAAAATATCATATCATATCAATTTTATCAATCCTTATTTGTCATATTTTATCATATTAAAGTAACCATTATCAAATTTTTCTTTTTTTTTTTAAAAAAGACAAAAGTAAAATAACAAAAAGTTATGATACCTATACATCATAAAGTAAAGTAAAGTATGCTGTAATAATACTAAAATAGTAATTCTGATGATAATAAATAGTAGATATAAACAAATGTGATTCCATTCATCGTTATCTCAAATTATTTCTAAAAATTATTCTGATTATAATTTTAAAAATTTTAAAATTCAAATTCAATTTTTAAAAAATTCAATTATTACTTGCAAAAATTGTTTTAAGTTAAAAATAAACACTTCAAATAATAATTCTGATGATAATAAATAGTAAATATAAACAAATGTAATTCCATTCAACGTTATCTCAAATTATTTCTCAAAATTATTCTGATTTTAATTTTAAAAATTTTAAAATTTAAATTCAATTTTTAAAAAATTCAATTATTACTTGCAAAAATTGTTCTAAGTTAAAAATAAGCTCTTCAAGCAATAAAAAGAAAATTGATATAATTTATATAAATCTAAATTTTAAATTGTTGAAGAAAAAAAAAAAAAGAAAAACTAAAAAGTGAGAAAAGATTGCAAAAGTGGGATGAATTGATATTTTATTAGCATTATTTTACAAAATTTTAAAAATAATTGCCTCAATTTTTCAAATTTTCAATCTATCGTAGATAAAACTATTTAAAATTTTAAAAATAATTGCCTCAATTTTTCAAATTTTCTGTCTACTGTAGATAAAACTATTTAATGTTAGTATTTCAGCGGCAAATTTCATTTACATTTTGCGCATTTATTCCTTTCACATTTTTATTTTATCTTCTTTTTTCCACTCTTTTATCTCTTCAAGTAATATTAATATTTCTTCTTCTTCTTCCATTTTTTAATTCTTTTTCTTTGAGCTTTACTGTTTATTCTTTTTTAAAAATTTAAAATAATTAACAAATTTTATGGAGAAAAAAATTCGTCTTTGTTCTTATTATAAAAGTAATTGAAAAATTAATTTAACAAAAAGTAATAATTTTGTCTTCTTTTCTTTTTCAATTCTTTTTTTTTTCTTTTTAAAAATTTAAAATAATTAATAAATTTTATCTTATTATAAAACTAATTGAAAAATTAATTTAACAAAAAGTAATAATTTTGGCCGTCTTTTCTTTTTCAATTCTTTTTTTTTTCTTTTTAAAAATTTAAAATAATTAACAAATTTTATGGAGAAAAAAATTGTCGTCGTCTTATCATAAAACTAATTAAAAAATTAATCGAATTAGTATTTAATAAATAATAATTTTGTTGCTTTTTAATATTTTTAAATATTATTACATTTCATGAATTATTTAATTTCAGTAATAAATATTTTTATCGTTTTGTTAGCATTGCTTAATTTTCCAATTACTATTTTTAATTCTTCAATGTTTTTCATTCAAATTTCAAATATTTCATTCATTTCAGTTTTGATTTTCATTTTATATTAATTACACTCCTAATATCAGTTAAATGCTTTTCATTTAAATTTCAGATATTTCTTTCATTTCATTTTTGATTTTCATTTTACATTAATTACATTCCTAATATCAGTTAAATGCTTTTCATTTAAATTTCAGATATTTCTTTCATTTCATTTTTGATTTTCATTTTACATTAATTACATTCCTAATATCAGTTAAATGCTTTTCATTCAAATTTCAGATATTTCTTTCATTTCATTTTCGATTGTCATTTTATATTAATTACATTCCTAATATCAGTTAAATGCTTTTCATTCAAATTTCAGATATTTCTTTCATTTCATTTTCGATTGTCATTTTATATTAATTACATTCCTAATATCAGTTAAATGCTTTTCATTTAAATTTCAGATATTTCTTTCATTTCATTTTTGATTTTCATTTTATATTAATTACATTCCTAATATCAGTTAAATGCTTTTCATTTAAATTTCAGATATTTCTTTCATTTCATTTTTGATTTTCATTTTATATTAATTACATTCCTAATATCAGTTAAATGCTTTTCATTTAAATTTCAGATATTTCTTTCATTTCATTTTTGATTTTCATTTTATATTAATTACATTCCTAATATCAGTTAAATGCTTTTCATTTAAATTTCAGATATTACTTTCATTTCATTTTTGATTTTCATTTTACATTAATTACATTCCTAATATCAGTTAAATGCTTTTCATTCAAATTTCAGATATTTCTTTCATTTCATTTTCGATTGTCATTTTATATTAATTACATTCCTAATATCAGTTAAATGCTTTTCATTCAAATTTCAGATATTTCTTTCATTTCATTTTCGATTGTCATTTTATATTAATTACATTCCTAATATCAGTTAAATGCTTTTCATTTAAATTTCAGATATTTCTTTCATTTCATTTTTGATTTTCATTTATATTAATTACATTCCTAATATCAGTTAATATTAGTTCACACATTCAGGATATCGCTTTATTTTACTGATGATATTATGGATCACAAGTGTGATCCGGAAGACATACCGGATAATACCAAAGAATGGAATAATTATTGGAAGATTCCAGAACAACGGAATGAGTGTAACGATCAAGGAAGAAACAAAATGACCAATGGTCAAGCAATGATCACTAAATGTGACAATGAATGCGATCAAAATAAATCAAAAAATTTCGATAGCAAAAAGAAAGGATTAAAATTTGAAATTAATACAAATACTGGAAATGCAATTATTGAAAAGCAAGAAGAATGCAACGATGGCAAACAATTTGAAAGTATTAAATGGAACAAAAATTTGCAAATCCCGGGATTACTGATAAATATCTCGAGAAAATGCACACTGTCATTATCATCATTCCAGATATTATCAGATACTTTTCAACAGTATTACAAGCAATGTTGTGATGCATTTCATATTTGTCACAATGATTTGACAATTGAAACAATCGAGCAATGTGGTGCGCTAACATATGCATTTATTAAATTACTATTTCATATTGGCTATAATCCTGAACGAATAATCGTTTCCGGAATTGATACACTAATAATGTTAGCTGCTAAAAATGCAATCAAACTTGATGATGCATGTTTTGCATGGAAAATGATCAATTCACTGATAACAACGATCAACGATGGTGATAAACTGATAATTGCTAAACAAATTAATGCAATCCTATCAAAAATTGATATTAATTTTCAAAATGCAATTTCGCTAATTAACATTGAGCAGCTAATCATATCAAATATGGAAACACTGATAACAACAATTCTTACAAATGAAATGCAAAATGAGCAATTTTTAAATGATCAATTAAAATCATTTATGATAATTGGATCAACAAATAATAATTGCTTAATGATGAAACATATTGAAAATTTCGATGATTTTATAACATTTATTAAACATCAAAATAATTTCAAACTTTTTAATGCATTACAAAAAATTTTAATTGAAAAGACAAATTTATCAGTTAATGAAAAAATTTTCAATGTTAAAATAAATTTGAAGGATAAAAAATATTTATTTGCTCATTTGATACATAATTGTAATATTTTATCAGCTGCTACACTACTTATCACTATTTTTAACTCATTTTTAAATGAGCGTTACATTTTTAAAAATGTAACATTCTTATTTCCTGTTATTTTTACATCTGAAAATGATTTTATTCATTTTAAAATTCAATTTTCTGCTAATATTTGCACTATTACATATGAAAATCATCAATGTGTTACATTTCAATTTGTTAGAAATTGTCAAATTGTCAAATATTTTGACAAAAGTAATAATTGGATTTCTGCTAGCATTGATAAACGATTAGCTATTGCATCAGAATTAAATGCTAAATTAATAACTGAAAAAGAATTTTATACTGAAATGGAAAAGTATTACTATCAGTATTATGCGGAATTTCGCTCGGTGAAAAATTTATTAATTAATGGAAATTATGGTACGGTTGAACTTACGCCAAGTGAACATTTTGATGTGTTAATCGATGGAGCTATGCAAGCAATTGTTTTTATTTACATTCAACAATTTGGTGTAAAATCCGCTGGTACCACATTGGTACCATTTCATATAGAACAAATGATTATCACTGATAATATTAGCGAAGAGGAAGAAATTTCGATTGGAAGAAGAAGAAGAGAAAGACGAAGCAATAATTCTAATGCTAATATATTAGCATTTGTTAAAGTTAAATTAAAAAATGGACAAATTCAGGGTTCATTTCAATTTATCACTGATAAAATTACTGTTATAGCAAATGCTATCAATTTTTCTCCATTAAAAACAAATCATATATTAAAATCATTAAAAAATGATCAAAATTTTTCATCAACATTTAACAAAACAAACAAACATTCATCATATCAAATGAAATTAAAAAAATTAAAAATGAAAAAATTTGAACAATTAGAAAAAATATTAGCAAATGATCAGAGAATTGTATGTATTAAATCAATTGCATGTCGTTTACCAAAAAATATCACTGATCCAGCAGAATTTTGGAATGCACTTAAAATTGGTAATTTAATGGCAGATAAAATACCATATAATCGTATTAATGATAGAGATAATTTAGCAGATGGACAACAATATGGTATACCAATACGTTGTGGTCATTTCTTATCAAATAATATTAGCCATTTTGATGCAAAATTTTTTGGTATTTCACGAAGTGAAGCAGAAAAAATTGATCCACAACAACGTTTACTTTTAGAATGTATTTATGAATGTATGGAAAATGCTGGAATAATTCATTTAAATGATGCAGGTTTTTTTATTGGTTTTATGTCAAATGAATATGCAAATATTATCAAATGTGATGATGCTATATCAATGCTTGGTTCAAGTGCAAGTATTGTTAGTGGACGATTGAATTATTTGTTTGGTAGTAATGCACCAGCAATTACAATTGATACTGCATGCAGTTCAAGTTTAGTTGCATTGCAAATAGCAATTGATGCATTAAAAAATAAACAATGCAAAATTGCTATTGTTGCAGGTGTTAATTTAATTTTAACTGAACAAAGTATTGGTCAACGAGCTAATGGTCATTTATTAGCTGATGATGGCTTATGTCGTAGCTTTGATGCATTATCAAATGGTTATGGTAGAGCAGATGGTTGTGTAGCACTTCTTTTAACATTAAATAATATCACTACTACTACTACTGATAATATTACTACTACTACTGCTGATAATATTACTACTACTAGTAATACTACTGATAATGAAAGAATTGATGATTGTATGATAAGAATAATTTCAACAGCAATTGGTCATAATGGAAAAAGTATTTCACTAACAGCACCAAATGGTTTTGCACAAGAAAAATTATTGCAAAATTGTTTGAGTGAAATTTCTGAAAAGCAATTGATTGATTATTGGGAAGCACATGGTACTGGTACAATAATTGGTGATGCAATTGAATTAAAAGCATTGCAAGCTAATTTACAGCATCAATGCTTAATAAGCACGGCTAAAACACATTTTGGACATTCAGAAGCTGCTGCTGGTGCTACTGGTTTAGCTAAAATTTTATTGCAATTTAAAAATGATTATATTCCGGTGCATGGATCATATCAATTTTTACAAAATTTACAAAATGGAAATTTATATTTGCCTATTATTGGTGAAGAATGGATGTGTAATAATGCATTAGCTGGAATAAGTTCATTTGGTATTGGTGGAACAAATGCTATGGCAATAATACAATGTAAAAAATTATTTAATAAACAATTAAAAATGAAATTAAATTTAACAACAAAAATGCAAACATATCTTTGTCCATTATCAGCAAAATGTATGGAATCATTAAATATGCTAATGATATGCTATCAAACAATGCTTGAAAATAGCAATCAAATAATTGCTAATATTTGTTCAACAGCATCACTTCATCGAAATCATATGCATTATCGTGGTATTATTATCATACATAAAAGAAAAATTATTAAAAAATTGATGATGAAAAATGATAAAGAAGGAAAAGAAGGAGAAGCAATGATAGGATTGAAATTATCAAATTATTCATACATATATCTATTTTCTTGGTTTCATTCAAATTTTCAAAAATTTAGAATGAATTATAAATTTTATCTTCCATTAATGAAAAATTTTGCTGTGCAACAAATTTTGGCAAAATTATCACAAACTTATTGTGATGTTATTTTAGCTGGTCTATTAAGTTTAATTACTTTTCTAAATGATATTGGCATTAAATTAAATGCTATTTATGCTACTGATAATTTATCATTGCTAGCAGCACAGTTAATTACAGGTAAATTAGTATTTACCAATGTAAACAATTATAAAATATATTCAAATATGCAAATTTTTACGAAGAAAATTCCAGCAACAAAGAAGCAAATTGGCCGTTATAAATGGTATAAATTAGATATTATTAGAGATCAGAAAAATTTTGAATATGAATTAATGGAAATGATTGGAAGATCATATTTACATGGAAATTGTATTAATTGGAAATATCTCTATTCAACATCTTCTTATCAAATTACACTTCCAAATTATCAATTTAAACGTGAATCATATTGGATTACAAAAAATTCACCAACAATTGATCATTGGTTAATTGGACGATTGATGAAAGAAGACAACAATGAATGCATTTTTATTAATCAAATTAGCAAAATGACAAATGCAAAATTATTGATGGCGTTTAAATACAATGGACAAATGCGCTTTTCATTTGGTATTTGCTGTGATGCAATCATACAAGCATTACAGCTAACATTTTTCACAAAAAATATTAGCAAACAATCGCAATTTTACTTTCATAATTTTACAATGAACAAATATTTGTTGAAGGAAAATGATTGGATGAAGACAACAATTAAAAAATATTCAAATATCAAATATCACATCAAATTAACATGTGAAACAAATGTTATTTGTGAAGCAAATATTATTCTTAATGTTCATGAAACTAAAATGAAACGATTAAATATTAATAAAATTAAAAATGGTTTTATTAGCAAACCAAATTTTTATGAAATTCTCAATAATAAAGGAATAATTTATAATGGAATTTATCAAACAATTATTCGTACTTCTGCTGCAACTTCCTCTAATGAAATAATATTTGTAGCAAAATGTTGCTATCAAATTTTTCATATATTAGAAGCAATAATACAAATTGTATGCTATTGTGATATTTTAAATCCAAATGATATTTATGGTGATAAGAAATTTATCATTAAAAATTTAAATTTTCATCAAGCATTTTTAACCGAATCAACAGTGTATTTAGCAATTACAAATCGTAAAATTATCGTTTATAGTGGAAATGATCAAACGATAATGATAAGTGTAAATTTGGATGATGATAATGATGATAACAGTGATAATAAATGTAATGAAAAAATTGATAAGATGAAAAAGTGTAGAAAAGAGAAAATTGATAAGAAAAAAAAATCAGATCAATTTATCAGCACTTCATTTGTTACTTATCAAGAATGCATTGATAAAGTACGACATGCAGTTGAAGATATTCGTAAAGATAATTGTCCAATTAACAATAAGCAATTATCAGTATCATTTATTGAACTTGGTCTTGATTCATTATCAATTACTGATCTTGCTAATCGTTTAAATACAATTTATTTTCCTAATTTACAATTTAGTGCTGTTGATCTTTTCAATTATTCCAATATTAAACTGTTAACGGATGCAATTTATAAGCATAAAATATCATCAAAAATTACTGATAACAAAGATGATAAAAAGATAAGTGAAATAATGATGAAACATTCTGGCACTATCACTACATTGGATGAATTCTCGACTGCTAGAGAATCTCGACTGGACGATAAGCATACATTATCATCAATGCTAGATGATAATGATAATTATGCATATACACAAATATTCTTTAAGAAGCAGTCAAGAAATGATTGTATGAATGTTATCATTACTGATAAGGAATTTTTATTGAAACAAAAATTAGATAATCAATTGATAATTATTGTAAATGATAAAATGCAAAAATATCAAAGCATTGATGATGATAATGCCAAAATATTGCATTTTAATAGAAGAAATTCTGTGAATTTCAAGCATTATTTGCTATCATATTTGAATGATCATAAAAAAATTTTGATCAAATTTGCATTAAGCAATAATTTTTCATTAAAATATCTTATTGATGTATTACTTCAATTAACACAAATAATAAACAATCAATCAAATCAAATTTTTATATTTTCTAGCAAATTTAATTCTGGATATGCTAATGCATTTGCATTAGGATTTGCTAAAAGTTTATGCGCTGAATTATATCCAAAAGTGCAATATGAATGGAATTTTATTTTGCAAAAAATTTCAAATTTTAAAAATTATACAAAAAAACAATTATCAAAATTATCAGTGATAAAAAATGATACATTGTTAAAAGAAAGATGGCTTATAACTGGTGGTCTTGGTGGTATTGGTTGGCAAATGGCTAAATATATCGGTTACAATCGTCGAAATATTTCACATCTATTTTTGCTTGGTAGAAAAGAGCCAAATGAAATGCAAAATGATGAAATGAAAAAAATGCGTGAACGTACGAGCGTTGACGTACGAGCATTTTCGGTTGATTTAACATGCAAAATGCAAGTGCAAGAATTTTTTGAAAAATTACCAGTAACATTAACAAGTATTATTCATAGTGCTGGTTGCATTCATGATAAATTAGCAGCCAAACAAACACATTCAACTTTTCGGCTTGTAATTGATGCAAAATGTAATGGTTTATTAATATTGGATAAATTATGTCGTTCACATCCAATTAAACATTTTATTATTAATTCATCAATTTCTGCATTAATTGGTAATCGTGGCCAATGTAACTATTCGGCAGCTAATGCTTTTATTGATGAAATTATGCTTAAACGTCGAGCAAAACAACTTCCAGCAACAATAATTAATTGGGGTAATTGGTTAGAAACCGGAATGGCTATTAAGGCTAATAAAATTTTAAATGAAATTGGTTTCATTGGTTTGAAGACGCAAAAAGCATTAGCTTATTTACAAATTGCTATTGATTATGCACCGGAAAGAATGATTATTGCACAAATTGATGTCCGGAAAATTTTACACTATCGTCCTGATTTAGCTACTGTATTACTCAATACTGCAAATGATAATAATGTACAAATAATTGGAACGAATAATCCGGAACCGAAGTTAAACCGAAGTGATCAATTGGACAAAAATCAATCAATAACTGATAATTTGGTGCAATGGAATAAAAATACGGCAACAGTAAATAAAACAGGAATTAATGAGGAAAAAAACATTGATTATCTCAAATTAGAAGTGATCAAAATATTGGAGGAATTAATTGGTGATATGATAACAATCGAAAATTATCAGCAAACTTTTATGGATCTTGGTCTTGATTCATTCAAAATTTATCAATTTGTAAGTAAGTTAACGGAAAAAATTGAAATAAAACCAACTTTAAATGTATTAGCAATATTTGAGCATCCAACAATCAATCAATTATTACATTATATTGCATCATTATACTATCGTATTAAAGAATATTCTGACGATGAAATTACTGAGCGCATTGAGCGCAATTGTCATTCAAATTTGATGGATTATTCAGAAAATATAGAACATTCTGACGATGAAATTACTGAGCGCATTGAGCGCAATTGTCATGCAAATTCGATGGATTATTCAGAAAATATAGAACATTCTGACGATGAAATTACTGAACGCATTGAGCGCAATTGTCATGCAAATTTGATGGATTATTCAGAAAATATAGAACATTCTGACGATGAAATTACTGAGCGCATTAAGCGCAATTGTCATGCAAATTCGATGGATTATTCAGAAAATATAGAACATTCTGACGATGAAATTACTGAGCGCACTGAGCGCAATTGTCATGCAAATTTGATGGATTATTCAGAAAATATAGAACATTCTGACGATGAAATTACTGAACGCATTGAGCGCAATTGTCATGCAAATTCGATGCATTATTCAGAAAATATAGAACATTCTGACGATGAAATTACTGAACGCATTGAGCGCAATTGTCATGCAAATTCGATGGATTATTCAGAAAATATAGAACATTCTGACGATGAAATTACTGAGCGCATTGAGCGCAATTGTCATTCAAATTTGATGGATTATTCAGAAAATATAGAACATTCTGACGATGAAATTACTGAACGCATTGAGCGCAATTGTCATGCAAATTCGATGGATTATTCAGCAAATATAGCTAAAAGTTTTAAATTTTTTGCACTTCATTCAACAACTAACAAAAAATTAGTCAACGAACAAATTCGCTTTTATAATTTGCACAAACAATTAAATCGATCAACAATGATTACATGTAACAATAAACAATGGAACAATAATTATTTGCATATTATTTGGGGTTTCAAATATAAACTGTTACAAGAAGAAATTATTATTGCAAATAATATTGAGCATTCTCGAAAAGCAATTATATGCTTTATGATTAGTGGACAAGGAAGTCAAATATGGAATATGGGTAAACAATTAAGTTCTATTTTTCCATTTTTTCGACAAAAATTTGATGAAACATTAAATATTGCAAATAAATATATGGCTAAAAAAAGTGTCAATATTCGAGATGTAATTTATCATTGGCATTATCGAGAGTTATTGTATAAAACAAATTATGCACAACCAATAATTTATTGTTTTGCATATTCGCTTGCAAAATTTTATGAATATTGCGGTGTAAATGCGACATATTTTGTTGGACATAGTATTGGTGAAATTGTTGCATATACATTAGCTAATCAAATAACACTTATTGATGCATTAAAATTAGTCATACGACGTGGTGAAATTCTTGAATTTACCCGAGGAATGGGTAAAATGATTGCTGTTAATGATAAAGAAAATGGTGCAAAATTACAACAGTATAGTGGAATGCATTATGCAGCTATTAATAGTGATAAGCAAATAATCTTATCAGGTGATAATCAATCAGCTAAATTATGCATACATTATGCACAATTACATCATTATTCATTTACAATAATTGATGATTGCTATCCATTTCATAGCTCAATAATTGATAGCACATTATTAGAGCAATATAAAATGGAATGTAAACAAATAAAATTGAAAAAACAAACAAAACAAAATGTTATTTGCTATTCCACTGGTGAATTAATCAATGCTACTAATTTCACTGATAATCAAATAATTGCATCAATTAATTCAACTGTATATTTTAAAAAATGCATTGAAACATTACGTAGAAATAAAACGAATATATGGCTTGAAATTGGTAATGGTGAAATTTTAACAACATTTGTACGAAGTATGATTAATTCTAAATCAGATAATTTAATATTATCATCAATTAACAATAATATGTATGAAATGGACTCATTTATTCATTCATTATGTCAACTTCAAAATTTTGGTGTTAAAATTAAATGGGAACAAATTTGCAATGAAATTAACACTGATAATAATTCCACTGATAATAATTCCACTGATAAACAAATGCTGATGAAAAAATTGTTGAACAAAAAAAATATGAAATTATTTGAGGAGCATCGTCTTCATGGTACTATAATATTACCTGCTGCATTTATTATTGTTTTATTTGTTGAATATACAACAAATTTATTGGATGCAAAAATTGATGCAATGAAAAGAAAGAAAAATGATAAATTATCAAATGAAAGAAAAATGATTATTTTTGAAGCATTACGATTGGAAAAACGAATTACTATTGCTAATCTAAGCAAAATTAATGTGAAATTTATCAAAACAAAATTATTGCTAACAGATAGCAGTGATAATAATTATTGCAATTGTCGATTAGGTAATGAAAAGCGTAAAATAATTGTTGAAAAAATGAAACAAATTAATGCATTAAAAAATTTAAAAATTAAATGTAAACAATTCAAAATGAAAATGCACAATTTATCGTATCAATTATTTTATGAAATAATGCGAAAAAATGGCTTACAATATGGACCAAATTTTCAAATATTACGTGAAATATATCGTAAAGATTGTTATATTAGTGCATTATTGATAAATGATAATGATCTGATAAGACTTATTGATGGTTCACTTCAATTACTTTCTGCTGCACTTCTCAATACGAACAAATTATCAGTTTATATTCCATTTGCAATTGATGATATTATCATCAATTATAATGCAATATGTACAAAAAGCAATTATTTTCATGCTTTTGGAATTATCACAAAACGTACTGATAATATTATCAAAGGATCAGTTATTGTTTATGATAATGATAGTGAAATTATTATTTTACATAATGTTACAGCAATTGATATTAGTGCTAATAAGTCTATCATATCAACAAAACATTGCAATCATTCACAATCACAATATTCTGCTAACAAAGAAATGAACCATTTTGCTAGCAGTGATAAGGGTGATAACACTACGAGTGATAACGAAAATACTCCAATTAATACTGTTAGTAAATTAACAGATGAAATTATCACAGATAAAAAATTATCTATTCAAGATGAAATATTAGAAATTGAAATTATTAGCTATATTGGTCAATTTCCTAATTCTGCAACTGATTGTGCATCATTATGGAATAATTTAAAAGCAGGAATTAATTCTCATTCAACTGATAATATTCAAAAATTTCAAACTGATATAACAATGTTTGAACCATCAAAATTTGGTATTACACCTAAAGAAGCAATTTACATTGATCCTCAACAACGTATTCTATTAGAGATGACACAAAAATTAATTGAAAAAATAGGTTTGAAAGAATTAACAAGTGAAACAGGTGTTTTTATTGGTGTTAGCTCAAATGATTTTGCACAAAAAGCATATGCAGAAATTAATGATGCAAATTCATACCTGAGTACAGGTACAAATCAAAGTGCTTTAGCAGGACGTATTGCTTATTGGTTTAATTTAAATGGACCAACAATGGTAATTGATACAGCATGTTCATCATTTACTTCTGCACTTATTGTTGCATGTGATAATATTAAACAGGGTAATTGTCGTATGGCACTTGTTGGTGCTATTAATATAATTTTAAATTTAAAATCAACAACTGTCTTACAGAATGCTCAAATGCTTAGTGAAACAAATTTTTGTAAAGTATTTGATATGGATGCAAATGGATATGTTCGATCAGATGGTGCTGCTATGATATTAATTCATGGAATAAGTGAAAAAAATTTGAATTTAAAAAGTGAAACATTTGCCACTCATCAAAATGATTTTAAATTTACAATTGAAGCATATGGTATGCGACATAATGGACGATCAAATGCGCTTACAGTACCAAATGGAATAATTGAATATGAATTAATGAGTAAAGTTTGTAAGAAACGAGTAAATAAGTCAGTGATAAATTGGGTGGAAGCACATGCAACTGGTACCTCATTAGGTGATCCAATTGAAGCAAAAGCTATTTTAAATGCTTTAACTGATAACGATGATAATAATAATGATAATGATAATGATGCTCAATCGATTCATATTACATCGGTCAAAAGTTCAATAGGTCATTGTGAAGCTGTAGCCGGTGCTGCATCATTAATTATGGTGCTTGAAGCATGCAATCATAGCTATCTACCATCAATGCAACATTTCAAATTGTTAAATCGAAATATCACAAATGATTGTGGTTCATTAATTGTACCGGTAATTGGTGAAGAATTACCAAATGGTACCATTGATATACTCATAAATAGTTTTGGTTTCAGTGGTACCAATACATCAATTGTTCTCAGAAGATCAAATCGAGAACAATTGCAAAATGATGTAAAAAGATCAAAACAATCAATGATAAAGCAAATGTTATCAACCAGTCATTCTCCATCTATCATTTTATATTCAGGTGATAATTTAGAAGTACTTAAATTAATTTCCGGAAAATTAAAAATGTATGTAGAAAATGCATGCTACAATCTTACAACAATCTGTGCAATGTTGCAAAATTCACCGGATTATTCTACCGGAAAATATCGAATAGCAATGCCAATTAAACAGCATACACAAAAATGGATGTCTTTTGTGGAAATGTTTAAAAAATCAACAAAATGGACTAAAATTATTTTTAAAATGGAAGGAAAACCGGAACCAGCTATGATTGCTGAATTATACATATCATATCGTTCATTTCGAAAAATTTTCCTCAAATATCTCAAAATTTATAAATGCACAAATAATTTTACAACAACAAAATTAGATAAACAAAATGCATTTGAATATATTTCAAAAATTTCATTGCTTAAATTTCTATTTGTAATTGGTATAAAACCATTAATAATTATTGCAACGAATAGAATTGATCAAATTATTGCTAAAGTGATAAGAAGAAATTATCAAAACGGAATGTCATATGAATGTTGTAATTTTGAAATACAGGAAGAAATAATTTCTGATAATTTCGATTGTATTTTAAGCATATCAACTTTACAAATTGAAAAACCTAAAATGAAATTTGGCAGTAATTTGAAAAAAACATTTAGCAATCAATTTGTGGAAATAATTTGTCAACTATATGTGCATTTTATTGATATCAATTGGAAAATGCTTAATGATCAGACAGTTAAAACATGTCTCATACCGGATGCCGAATATTCCAAGAAAAAATATTGGCCATTTACTGATTGTAATATGCAAATTAATGATTGTAATTCATTGCATACTGAAATTCACTTTTCAAATTTGCAATTGGAAATGCCTGAGCAGACGAAAAATCTCGAAAGTGTAAATCCTATAATTGATCAATTTAATAGTAATAATTTTGATAATACTAAAACAGATTTGATCAATTCTCACTATCTGTATAAGTTAGTTCAAAAGAAATGTTTACTACCGGATCCGGAACAAACTATGCCATTTATTGCTATTAATCTAACCGATACAACAACAATTCTAGGACAACAAGCTATATTTGTCACCAAGATAAATGATAATGATGATATTGTTAGGATTAAAAAACAATTTCATTTGCATCAATGTACAAAATTGATATTTGAATGGATAATTGATGAGGAAAATTTATTGGAAAATACTATAAAACAAAGTATGCTGGTAATTAATTTATGGAAAATTTTGGTAAACAGCAGCAGAAACAACAACAACAACAATAACAATAATAATTGTTTCAGAAACAATAATAATGCAAAATTATGCTTAATTGTTTTTGCTATTTGTAATAGCAATGAAAATGAAAGATTATTTGCGCCATTTTCAGCTTTACTAAAAACATTAGCAATGGAAGAGATAAGTGTAAATTTTAAAGCTATTCATACTGATATTATTGATAAGCAAATTTTGTATGAAATTTGGGATGAAAATTTTATCAATGAAATAATTTGTTACAATGGTGGTAATCGATTTGTTGAAAGAATGCAAGAAATGAATGATAAAGAATTAATTGTGGAACAGATAAGAAATATTGATCGAATACTGATAACAGGAAATATTCGAGGAATAGCTGGAAAATTAATTGAAATTTTAAAACCACGTTTAGCAATTGCTATATCAAGAACAATGCTTAATACATGTAGCAGTGATAAGAATGGCTCAATAATTAGAACAATACAGGCAGATTGCACTGATTTTATGCAAATGGAAAAAATTTTTGCGACATTTGCGCCATTTGATATAATCTTTCATTGTGCAGCAACAGTAAGTAATTGTTTAATGGAAAATATGAATGTGAAATTATTTGAAATGGTTTGTCAACCAAAAATTTTAGGTTTACAAAATATTATCAAACTTTCAAAATTGTATTCAATTCAAAAAATTGTTGCATTCTCATCAGCTGCAACAATTCTTGGCTCTGCTGGACAAGCTAATTATGTTGTTGCTAATGAACTTATGGAATATTTGATGCGAAAAAATGTACCAAATGGATTGGTCATTAGTTGGGGACCATGGGATGGTCAAGGATTTTTAGCCGGTGAACATATGGCTAAAATTCGACGACAAATTCAGACTAGTGGTTGGAAATTATTACAGGTAGAACAGGTAACACAACTATGCTACAAATTACTTTCCAGTAAAGGTCATCATATAGCAATGAGTGTTAATTTTGATATACTTCAAAAAAAACGTCCATATTTGAGAAAATTTTTGGAAAATATTTCCATTAATAATGACAATAACAACAACAGTAACAACAATAACAATAATAGCGACAACAATAACGACAATAGCGACAACAATAACGACAACAAGAGAGATGAATTTATTTTACAAAATAATTTGCATTCAATTTCTGAATGCGAAAAAAATTTCACTGAAATAATCAAAAATTGTATTATGGAAGTAAGTGGTATTACAGATGTTAAATTTGATATTGGTTTTATGTCAATGGGAATTGATTCATTAATGATTACTGAAATACAAAAATTACTTAATGAACGATTAAATTTAAATATTCCAATTGCTAATTTCTATGAATATTCAACTGTTCAAACATTATCACAATATTTAGCACAAAAAATGCTAATAAATGATAATAAATTACAAAATGATAAGCGTATGAAAAATGATAAAAATGATAAGATAGCAATTATTGGTTATTCAGGTGCATTTTCTGGCGCATCTAATGATGAGATATTTTGGCGCTCTTTGCTTGATGGTCAAGAATTAATTGAGCAACAAAAACGAACAAAAATAAATGATCATGAAGAAATGATAGAAGGAATTGGTATAATGCCTGATTTAGATAAATTTGATTATCAATTCTGGAATTTAACATTTAGTGATGCAAATTATATTGATCCACAAATTCGTAAATTTGTTGAACATTCATATATTGCTCTAGAACGTTCTGGTCTTATACGTATTCGTGATAAATTACGAATTGGTGTTATTGTTGGTGCTGAACCATCAGAGTATCACGTAAAATCACGTTGCATTGGTGGTATTGAAAATTTATACGAGATTAATCAAAAAGATTTTATTGCTACATGGACCAGTCATTTGCTCAATCTAAATGGTCCATCATTTGCTGTTTATTCAGCATGCTCCACTGCACTTATTGCTATTGTACAAGCAATTAATTTACTAAAACAAAATCAATGTGATATTGTACTTGCTGGTGCTGTATCATTAGCATTACCTTATACAGGTAATAATAATAATAGCTTAAAACATGGAATGATACTATCAACTGATGGTCACTGTCGTCCATTTGATCAACAATCCAGTGGAACAGTTCGAGGTTCAGCAGTTGGTGTTATTGTACTACAACGATTAAATGATGCTCAAAAAATGAACATACCTGTTATTGGTAATATAATTGGCTATGCAATTACAAATGATGGCTTATTAAAGTCAAGCTTTATGGCACCAAATATTACTGGTCAACAAAGTTGTATCAAAAAAGCAATTGAAATGTGTGATACAAATGAAATTGATTATATTGAATGTCACGGTACTGGTACAATAACAGGTGATCTTATTGAACTTACAGCAATGTCACAATGTTATCAACGTGACACATTAATTGGTTCTGTTAAAGCAAATATTGGACATGCATTAGCTGGTGCTGGTATTGCTGCAATTATAAAATTATGCAAAATTGCTGAAATGAGAATTATTCCAAAACAAATTAATTTTGAACAATTTAATAAGCATTTAATTAATGTTAGCTTTCAAATTACCAAATGTAATATTAAAATTGAAAAGAAAATTTTACGTTTAGCTGTAAATGCATCTGGTATTGGTGGTACAAATGCGCATCTAATCATTGAAAATGATAATAATCATTTCTTATCAACATATCAATCAAATAATAATCATTATTTTTATGCATTAATCATAACTGGTAAAAGTAAAAATGCATGCATGCAACTTTGTAATTGCATTAGTAATTATTTGCAAATGAAAATGAATTTAAATCAAATTGCAAGTACATTGCAAAATTATCGTGAACATTTTCAATATCGATTTGGTATTACTGTACAAACAATTAGCGATGCTAAAAATGAATTAAAAAATGCTGTTAAAATTGAAAAAATAATTAATTTAAAATGTGAAAATATTGCATTTTATATTGCACCACAAGGATTGGAATATTTAAATATAGGTTTTGAAGCAATGAAATATAATCAAACATTTTGTAATGTAATGAAAAAATGTTTTCATATTGCTAGTAAATTAATTGGTGTAAATTTTGAAAATATAATTCATCAACAACAACGCCAACAACAACAACAACGCCAACAACAAACAATAACAATGGAAAATATACTTTTAAAGCAACCATATTCACAATTAGCTACATTTATTATTTGCTATGCTTTAATGGAACAATTAAAAGAATGGAAAATTGATGGTTGTATTATGATTGGACATAGTTTAGGTGAATATGTTGCTGCTGTACAAGCTAATGTTTTTGATATTGAAACAGCATTAATGATTATTTTCAAACGTGGTTGTTTGATTGCAAAAACAGAAAATGCTAAAATGTTAGCTGTAAATTGTGCAAATTATAACAAACATTTGAATTGCATTGAATTAGCAATGAAAAATAGCACTAAAAAATGCTTACAAATTCCTGAAACAATTGAAATTTCAGCTTATTTACATTCAAATTTGAAATGTTTTGTTGGTAAACCTAAAATAATTGATGCATTTAAGCATTTATTGGAAATTAATGAAATACATTGTCGAGAGCTAACAACAAATTATGGTTTTCATAGTTCATTTATGAATTCAATACTTGATGAATTTGAGGAATTTTTAGCAAAATTCACTTTTCAAAAGCCAACAAAACAAATTTTATCAAATATTAATGGTGAATTAATTAAGCATTTCGATGCTAAATATATGATTAAACATATGCGATGTGCTGTTCGACTTGATAAATGTATTGCAAATTTAAGCGATCAAATTAAAGTAATAATTGAAATTGGTCCAAAAGGTATTTTGGAAAGTTTATTAAATGCTAATAAACAATGCAAAATTGATATTATTTCAACAATACCATCAAAGAAACAATATGAAAAAGGTTATGATACAGGTAATTTACTTCATATTGCAACAAAATTATGGATGAAAGGTTATCAATTAAATTGGGAAAAAATTTGTGGCAATTATAGCTTTGATAAATTTCTTCCAAATTATCAATTTGAAAAAAATATTTGCTGGGAGAAACAAACAGAGAAATGGACGAATGAAAATATTGATGTAAATTTGTATGAATTATGTTGGTTATCATGTAAATATACAACAAAACAACAACAACAACAACAATTACCAAAAGGTGTTTTATTATTTGTATCACAAAGAAGGACAAATTCAATTGATAAATTTCTTTCAATGCTACATAATTTATTTGTACCGGTTCAGTGTATTTTTAATGATACAAAATCATTAACCGGAAATATTAATGTAATTGATGGTAATATTTATATTAATTCAAATAATCAACAATCGTACTATGAATTAGCTAATTTTCTTCGCAGTAATAATTTTTATTTTGATACTATAATTCATGCATGGAATTTTCCGGTAAATTTAGAAACTGATGAAAGCAGTGAATCATATTTATTAACAAGTTTTTATTCTGTCTATTGGATTTTAACAATTATTACACAAAATATGATTGATTTAAAATTTCTGACATGTATTGATTGGAATGCAAAACCGGAAATATTTACTGTTCTTGGACCAATACGAGAATTTGTAATGACAAAACGATCAATGAAAGCTGCATGTATTCTTTGCACATCGGAAATTAATTTATTTGATGCATTACAATTACTTCAATTGCATCATGCTAATTTTGCATTAATTCGAAATTTTATAAATGGAAAATTTGAATATTTTTCTTATCAATTAAAATTAACTGAATGTGATAATTATTTGATTGAAAATGAGAAACAATCAATAATTGATAAGAATGATTGTTGTCTAATTCAAAATGCTGATATTATTGTAATTTTTGGTTTTGGTAGTATTGGACAATCATTTGTAAATGTTCTTTGTCAAAATTTTAATAATTTAACAATTTGTATTGCTAGTCCAAATGCTACAAAACACTTTCAACAACTCCAAAATAAAATTAATCAATGGAAAATTTCACGAAATTCTAAAAAAATTAATCAGACAAATGTAGCAGCAATTGTTGATGTCAACAATGATGAACATAAATTCTTTGCATATGATATTGATGTGACAAACAACGATGATGTACGATATTTATTGACACAAATAATGTCACAACATAAACAAATCAATGTTATCATACATGCAGCAGCTGGAAAAATTGATCGTATTAAATTTGACAAAAATTTCAATGAATTACAAACTGTTTTACAACCAAAAATTTGTGGTACTCGTAATGTAATCAATATTTTAGATGAAAATAATATCAATATTCGAAGTTTAATTCTTAATTCCAGTATGAATGCATTATTTGGCATACCTGGTAATAGTGATTATGCAGCATCAAATATTTTTCTTGATATATGCAGTGAGCAAAATTTCCGGAATATTCAAAAAATTACAACCATACAATGGACCGGTTGGAAAGATAGCACTATGCTTAGCAATTATAACAGCGGCAAAAATAAAAGTCAAAATCCTGTAGCAAACCTGATCATGAAATATTCATTATCAGTAAATGAAGCTGAACAAATGATACAAAAATGTTTGTATCAACAAGGATTAATTGCTGTTTCATTTATTAATCCAAATGAAATAATTCAGGAAATTCGTAAATTAAATTTTACATTAAATGATAAATTTGCAACTGAATTAATGGAGGAAAAAAATATAAAAATGAATTGTAATGAATTTAAAAATATTCTTGCAAAAATTTGGATGAATTATTTAAATGTTGAACAGATCACTGATCATGATGATTTCTTTCAATTAGGTGGACATTCATTAAATGGTATGCAAATTATTTGGGAAATTAATTGTTTGTTGCAAATTGATTGCAAATTGGATGATTTATTTCAACATTCACAATTTCAACAATTTTTGCATTTTTTACAAAATGCAAAATTGAAAAAAAATGAGCAAAAAATTTCATTTAAATTAAAAGATTATAAAATGTTTGATTGTATTGAAAAGTTAAAAATGATTCGATTAAGTTATCCACAAGAAAATATGTTTATTTTACGAGAATTATACCATCCAACACTCTATAATATTTGCTTTTTGCTAACATTTCAAGGATTAATTTGCATTAAAAGTTTGCATAAAGCATTTCTATTTCTAATTGCACGACAAACATCACTACGAACAATATTTCTGATAAGAAATGATATATGTTATCAGGAAATTCAATCACTTACTGAATCCTATTATCATATGTTATGGCCAATGTTAGATGAATATGAACGTTATCAATTGATAAATGATGAAAAAAATCATATCATGGATTTAAGACAAATTCCATTTCGATTATTATCAATGTGTAGTAGTGAGAGCAGTGATAAGATGAAAAATGAATATATGATAGTGATAAGTCAACATCATATTATCACTGATGGTTGGTCGATGACTATTTTTGCTAATGAATTAAGCAAATTTTATCACTATTGTCTAACAAATGAGCATATTCCGGTAACATTTAAACGTTTATCATATCATGTAGCACATTTTGCTACATGGCAACGTAGTGATAATTTTACACAAATGATAAATGATGATTTAAAACGATTATGTGCAAAATTTCAACAACAACAACAACAACAACAACAAGGAACACAAATTATCACACATAAAACAGCAATTCTGATAACAAAATTAATTCGTCAAAAAATTTTCAATGTTTCATTATCACTTTGGATGCAAATAAATGAAACAGCTAAACGTTATCAACAAACTATTTATACAGTAATGCTTACTGCATTTGTATGTCTCATTCGTAAATTCTCGAATGATTATGATAATAATACAATAATAATTGGTTGTCCAATATCTGGTCGAATGAATGTTGATGAAATGAAATTAGTTATGGGTTATTTTTTAAATAATATAATTTTAATTGTTGAAAATTTTCAAATGAATGTAACAAATGAAATACTTTTTGAGCAAATTAAAGTAGCAATACAGGATGCTCGTTCATTTGAACATTTACCATTTCATTTATTGGTTGCTAATTTATCTGAGCAACGACAATTTACAACAAATCAACATCCTATTTTTAATATATTTTTTAATTATCGTCATAATCTTGATTTTCCAAAAATTGAAATTTCAAATGTGAATTGTTCAATAAAACAACTTACCACAAATGATGCATTTGATTTTGCATTTACAATTGATGAAATAAATGATAATGATAATGGACCATTAATTACTATTAATTATAATGCAAATCAATATTCCAATCAACTTATCGATCAAATGATTGCTGTTTATTTGAAATTACTTAAATCAATTTGTAGCAAAAATGATTGTCTTCAAAATGAAATGTATAATTTCAAATGTAAAATGCATCATTGTGATGTATTATCTACAGGTAGTGCTATTGATATTATCAAACAACAAGCAATACATACTGATAAGCTTATTGCTTTTTGTAATTCTTATCAAACAACAATTACTTATCAACAACTGTACGAAATGATTGATGTATTTTCTAAGCAAATAACACAATTTTATTTGCAAAACAGTTGTGAAAATATTCGTGCTGATACAATAATACCAATATGTGCTGATTCAAATGCAATAATAGCACCGTTATTAGCAGTGCAATTAACTGGTGCTGCATATGCGCCTATTGATCCAGCAAATTCTAGCACAATGATTGCACAATTAGTGCATGATATTGGTGCAACAATTATTATTGTTCAAGAAACAAATTTAAATTTAAATATTCCAATGCTAAACATGGAACAATTTGTAGCATTTACTAATCAACAACAACAACAACAACAACAACAACAACAAACTGATACGAAAAATTGGAAATTAAATTATTGCAATAAAAATTTAGCAAATGATTGGATGAAAAAATATTCACAATGTATTGATTTATCATATGTAATATTTACCAGTGGTACAACCGGAAAACCGAAAGCAGTTTGTGTTACAAATCAAAATTTGCTTAATTTTATTGTTGCATCAACACAACAAACAACATTTCATCCTAAATATCGCATTTATCATTCGGTAAATACAATTTTTGATGTAAGTTGTATGAATATTTTTACAACATTTTCAAATGGTTGTTGTTTAATTAGCGCAGCAAATATTCTTAATGCAACAAATGAAATTATTGAAATGAATGTACAATTTGCATTCTTATCAGCAGCGCTATTTAATATGTTTGATAATGAGGAAATTAATCAGTTGCAACAGCTCGAAAAATTATTTGTTGGTGGTGAAACAATAAACAATCAACAAATAAATCGTTGTTTACAATTGGGAATTTGTTTATGTCAAATTTATGGACCAACTGAAACAACAATTTGGTCATTAACAAATAATTGTAGCATTTTTGAAAACGAATGTGGTCGTATAATTGGAACAGTAATTAATAATGAATTTGCATATGTATTAGATTCAGAAAATAATCTAACATGTAATGGTGCTAAAGGTGAATTAGTAATTTGTGGTAATGGTATAACACGTGGTTATTTAAATTTAAATAATTCAAATGTTTTTAAATATAATAAATTTCATACTAAAGAAGATGAAATTTTAAAACGTAATTTAATTGCTTATTACACTGGTGATTTTGTAATAAAATTTGGTGAAAAATATCATTTTTTTGGACGTAAAGATAAACAATTGAAAATACATGGCTATCGTCTTGAACCAACTGAAATTGAAATTGTAGTACGAAAATGGGATTTAACAATTGGAAATGTTATTGTTTTAAAAAATAAACAATTAGATAGTTTGGTATTATTTATTGAAAAAGAAACTGATAATAAATATTACTGTGATTTATTACGACAATATTTAAATGAAAATTTACTTCATTTTATGATACCAAAAAAAATTATTTTGCTACAACGAATGCCATTAAATCGAAATGGAAAAATTGATGTGAATAAATTAAATGAAATGATAAGAGATGATTATTATTATCATTCCACTGATAATGATAATGAAATTATTGCATCAATACAAACTAATAATGTATTACAACAAGAGGTGCAAAAAATTTGGTGTCAATTAATTGGCTTATCACAAATTAATCTCACTGATAATTTTTTTACAATTGGTGGACATTCTCTTCTACTAATACTTCTACGACAAAAACTTCGTGATAAATTTAATTTCACTTTAAATTTTCAACAATTCTATCGTCAACCAACATTAGCAGCACTTATTGCTAGCATACAAACAGAACTGAATAATTGCTATAATGAAAAAACAAATGATTACACTTATCAAAATTATCATTTACCTGTACCTTTGCAAGATTTTAATTTGATAAAATTTATCAATCTTCGAGAAACTATCACATCAATTGGTAATGTTTATATGATACATGCAATTGCTGGTACAATTTATTCATATTTTGGATTAGTATCAACTATACCACAATGTTTTAATATTTATGCTATCGAATATGAATTGTATTATCCATCGGATAGTTTAATTGAACTTGCAACATTTTACTCGAAACAGGTAAGTAAAAAAAAAAATTTTACCTGTTTAAATCTATTTGCATTATAGTTAGACATGAAAAGTGAAATATATATTGGAAAATATATATATGTTCATAAAGAATTTTATCAGAAAATAAATTGAAATATTTAATCAATAAATTAGAATTTTATCTTTTTAATTTATGTTAATCAATAAATTAGAATTTTATCAGATTATTTAATAAATTAAACAGATTATTTAATAAATTGAACTAATAATCAATCAATATTAGAATTTTATCAGATTATTTAATAAATTAAACTTTTATGATATTAATCAATAAATTAGAATTTTATCAGATTATTCAATAAATTAGACTTCTAGTATGAAAAGTGAAATATGTCTATAAAAATTAAAAATTAAAACTTTGATCATATTAATCAATAAATTAGAATTTTATCAGATTATCCAATAAATTTATCAGATTATTGAATAAATTAAACTTTTATCAAATTATCCAATAAATGAGAACTTTATCACATTATTCAATAAATTAAACTTTTATCATCTTTTATCATGGTGTTCAATAAATTAAACTTTTATAATATTAATCAATAAATTAGAATTTTATCACATTGTTCAATAAATTAAACTTTTATCATATTGTTTAATAAATTAAACTTTTATTACATTAATCAATAAATTAGAATTTTATCACATTCAATGATTTAAACCTTTACTACATTATTCAATATATGTTATATGTTAAATAAAAAAATAAATAAATATTTACATATATATTTTCTTTAAAAAAAATTTTAAGCACAAAAAAAAAAGTTATCAAATTGTTATAAAATATGGAAACTCTTCGTTTTTTTTTTCCATTTTAAGAAATTATTTGTTGAAAAAAAAATATTTATTTTTGCTTCGTAATTTCTTTTTTTTAAAAAATAATATTTCCATTATTCAATTAAATTTATGTAATAAATTAAAATTTAAAAATTATTTAGATTGTTAAACATAGTCAAATGAATGCGATATATTTAATGGGACATTCATTAGGTGGTATTTTGGCACGTGAAATTGCAGAATTGCTTAATAATAATCGAGATAATAATAAAAAAGAATTATTTGTTATAATGCTTGATTCATGGTGTATTGGTATTGAAAATTTGCATATGAATACTGTCATATGCTACCTTCAGGTGGTTTTAACTTTTATTTTGTCAAAAAAAAAAAAATTTACTTTACTTTTAACTTTTATTTTGTCAAAAAAAGAAAAAGTTTACTTTTAACTTTTATTTTGTCAAAAAAAGAAAAAGTTTACTTTACTTTAACTTTTATTTTGTCAAAAAAAAAGGAAAAGAAATTTGCTTTACTTTACTTTTAACTTTTATTTTGTCAAAAAAAGAAAATTTACTTTACTTTTAACTTTTATTTTGTCAAAAAAAGAAAAAGAAATTTACTTTACTTTTAACTTTTATTTTGTCAAAAAAAGAAAAAGAAATTTACTTTACTTTTAACTTTTATTTTGTCAAAAAAAGAAAAAGTTTACTTTACTTATTCATATAGTAAAGATTTAGCTTACTTATTTATATAGCAAAGATGCAAAAGAAGTAAGAAGTAATTGTTAAAAAAAAAAAATTTATTTTATTTACTCATATAGTACAGAAATGTAAAAGAAATAATTACTACATTTTTTAAAATTATTTTTCTATTTTTTAGGAAAAATTAAAAGGATTGCCAGATAAAGAGGAATATATTAAGAAATCGATGAAATTAACTAAATTGCTACAAAATCATCAATTTACAATTAATTCAATCAAAATTTATCTTTTAAAAGCAAAAGATCATGGAAATTCTCCTCTTCGAACACATCTAAGGTAAGCAAATAAATTTCATTTGCTATAATCAGTGATAAACTTAGTGATAAACAAATATATATCATTAAGAAAAAAATCGTTTCTTCTTTTTTGTTTCTTTTTTAAAATTCATAATTAAAAACTTAAAATCATGAAATTCATAATTAAAAACTTAAAATCATGAAATTCATAATTAAACTAAATTAGAGAGAGAAAAAAAAGGAGAGAGAGAGAAAAAGAGAGAAGAGAGAGAATCTAGAGAGAGAAAAAAAAAAGGCTAAACTTAAAATCATGAAATTCATAATTAAAAACTTAAAATCATGAAATTCATAATTAAACTAAATTAGAGAGAGAAAAAAAAAAGGAGAGAGAAAAAAGAGAGAAGAGAGAGAATCTAGAGAGAGAGAAAAAAAAAGGCTAAACTTAAAATCATGAAATTCATAATTAAAAACTTAAAATCATGAAATTAATAATTAAACTAAATTATCTAGAGAGAGAGAGAGAGAGAAAAAAAAAAAGCTAATCATTTACTAATGTTTCATATTATTCAAAAGAGAGAGAGAAAATTAATTTGCTTCCTTTCCCTCTCTTCTTTACATTCATATTTTTTTGAATAATTTTTGATTATTTTTTTTTTTTCTTTTTAAGAGAATTAAATTCCAAACAACAAACACAATCGTTGATTTCAAATGGATGGCATAAAATTTCAACGAAAAAAGTGGATATATTTCTGGTTGATGGTGATCATGATTCAATGTTACACCAACATAATATGACCTTATTGACCCGTATTTTTGCTTACATTTATGCTATGAATGGAATAATAGTTGAACAGTCTTAAATGATTCTTTAATTTTTTAATTTTTTATAATAATTTCAAATTTAATTCCATTTTCTCTATAATAATTTCACATTTTATTTTATTTTCACTATTTTATTTATAATATAATTAATCATATGATAAATTTTTCTTTCTTTTTTTTTGAAGAAGCAAAATAATTGCTAAATTGTCCATACAATGCATTTATCATATGTAATAAGCAAAAATCAACAAAAAAAAAAATTTTTGAATAGCAAATGAAAGCTGTTATTAAATTGTTTTTAATAGAACAAACAAACAATGAAATGCTTAAACATTCAAAATTTCGAATATTTATCAAAAACATTTCATAATATGAATATCAATATTTACTCTTCATAAAATTTAAACAATTTTTACCAGTAGTTATTTTTCCAATCAAAAAAAAAAAAAAAAATCAACCGTATTTCAAATAAGCATCGAAAAATATTTTATAAACTTAACAACACCAAAAATATCAATCAAAATAAATTTAGAAAAAAAAAAAACTATTTCAAAAGTTGAAAAGAAAAGAAAAAATCATTTGAAAATTCTTAAATACAAAGATAATTATTATGAAAAATACCAAGAAGATAAGTAAGTATTAACCAAGAACTTTTAAGAGATCATCTTCACACATATTAGCATCAAATACAACCTTACTCCATCTGCTTTGCTCAAGTGCTTCATAAAATTCCTCACCATTTTGCAACAAATATTCATTGCTCTGTTCAGCTGATTCATCTTCTACCGATTCAATACCACACATTTCATATGATACAATTGCTCCACCAACTACACATGAATAGTATTGCTAAAAGTGATTTTTATACTTAAATTACAGAAATTCATTTTTTTTTTTCAAAAATCAATTAAATGTTTTCACTTATTTTATATAAATTATTATAATAAGTTTTATATAATGTTTATACATTTACAAGAAATAAACCGAAAAAAAAACAATTCTATGGAAAAACCAGCAAATGTAGTAAATTTATGGTAGAAACAAATAAGATAAGATGATATTTCATATAATTTCTATAGTAATAAATAATAAATTTTAATTTAATTACTTCAGAAATAGTTTGTTGAGGAGTAGTTCGAGGATGTATTGATGGATATGTATATGATGTATGATAAGTATTCACTGCATGAGCATTTGCTACAGGTGTTGCATTATACGGATAATAAGATGTTACTGATGTTGGTGTTGTTACAGATGATGTGTTATTATCCTGAAATTAATACAAATTCCAATAATACATAATCTTTTTCATTATAAATATTAAAATTATAATATGCTTATAAAATGAATCATAATGAAATTATTTTTGTTGAAACTTTTAATTATTATTTACAACAACAACAGAAAAGAAAACCTGAGTCTGCAAATAATTACTGGTATTATCATAACCAGTAATATTATTCTGAGCTTGTTGTTGTTGTTGTTGTTGCTGTTGTTGTTGTTGAAGATGACGTGGTTGTCGTGGTGCTCGATATTTCGGTTGCGCTAATTTGAGGATTAGTTGCTTACCATCGACACGATATTTATTCATTTCAAGCTAAAAATATCCAATATATAATTGAAAACCTCTTGATCTATCAATCAATCAATCAATCGACCGATCGATCAATCAATCAATCAATCCATCCATCCATCAGAGATGAATGTAAAATATTATATCAAATGATTTTATTTTTTTTAAAAAATTTTAACATTTTTTAGAAACTAAAAAAAAAAAAAAAAAATCTTAACAAATATTACCAATGCTCTTTGTTGATCAGTTTGATCTGAAAATCGTACAAAGCCTAAACCTTTCGATGATCCATCTGTATTCCGATACACTTTTGCTCCACGACATGATTCATAACGTTCGCCAAAAATCTAAAACAATAATATTAGAGAAAGAATTGAATTTTTTTTTTTTTTTTAAGCTTAGCTTCAAGTTGTAAATGAGAATTCAAAATTCTATACCAAGCAAAGAATTCACTAATGATTCGTCGCCAATTAAATTAAAAAAAGTAGCTAATCTTAATTTAAAATACAATATTTTAATCATTATGAAAAAAGAAAAAAAAAAACTCTCTGTTTCTTGCAAAGAATCACCTGCGAAATTTAATGAAATTACAAAAGGAATATATATAAAAAAAAATCTTTTATGATTCATAGGTAGATAAAATAAAACAAAGACAATTAATAGTAAAAATAATAGATAATTCACCAAAAAAAGTGCTGCATCATCCATATCCTGTGGTACATTGTTGACAAAAAGATTATATTCTGTATACCTCAAAATCATATTATATTTCATTTTAGCTTTCAAAAAAAAAAAAAAAATTTAACTTAAGAATAATATGAGAATACTAAGCAGTGTTATAATAATAACCATCAATAATATAGCGATTAAAGCCAATAATCCAAATCTTTTTATCATTTTGTTAGCAAAAAATTTTGTTATTATTGATACTAAATGCTTTTTACCAAATAATTATATGGTTATACTTAAATAATTTTTAAATGTTTTAATATAGTAAAAAAAAAAAAAATTAAATACTAAAACTTTATAAACCTTTAAATTTTTACTCATTAAAAAAAAAAAAAAAACCAGTTTCAATTGGTAACTAAACCCAATTTCGTACATATGAAAAAATTATATTAAAATAAATTCACTTAAACTAACGGTGCATTTGGTGAATTAGCAAAAGAAAGATTAAATGCTGCATATGGTTTTGATTTTGGAATAATTTTTCCATTAATATGCAACATTGCACGACGAGCCGAATCACGATCAGCAAATTCAATGAAACAATAACCAGCTTGCTGTAATTATTATACACACATTTATTTAGTTCAAAATTTATTAAATTCTCTATCAAATAAAATAATTTATTAGTTATTCGATTGTATGGTATAAACATTTCATAATTATAACTAAATAATATATTCAAAGGAATATAGGAAAACTCTAACTAATATTTAAACTTTCTTTTTAATAGATAAATATTAAAAAATGATTGTAAAAAAAAAAAAAAAAAAAAAAATGTAAAATGTAGAATTCATCAGCCATTTACAGCAATTTGGGAAAGTGATTGAAAAAAAAATTAATATAATATAAAGCTGCTAATAAAAAACATTTAATATTAATCTATGAATTGCATTTCTAACATGGATAAAACAGCAATGTATAAAATAAAACAAAAAAAAAAAATGAGAAATAAACAATTCATCATCACAATTATTTGCTAATTTTAATTAGTAAAATTTTATCAGCAATTAAAATGAAACTATTCGAACGACTATTAACTCAAAGATTAATATTTATTTTAGAATTATTAATTTTAAAATTTAAATGATAGATAACAAACAATTTTGTTGATTCTACTATTTCTAACAGTGTAAATAAACATAACCTTTCCACTATGTTTATCAAAAACAATTTTCACATTTGTTACATCTTCACCCATTCGTGCAAATGCTTCGCCTATGAATGCCTGATCCCAATCAGGATTTAAATCACCCATCCATAAGGTACGATCTGTATCATCGTTCGGTCGTGATATCTGATATGCCATCTAGTGATTTCTAAAAAACATTTATTTTTTTAAAAAAAAAATAATTTATTAAATGAAATAATCAATTGTCGTAATGCTTTATTTATTATTCAACGGATAATTTTGTAGACTAAAAATTCAAAAAAAAAAAAAGAAAATTTAAAAAACCAAATTTTTATGAAACTTAGCAAAAAACCTATATGGAACTTAAAAATCAATAAAATTCATTTTCATTCCTATTTTCGAACAAATTAATCAAAACGATTAATTTTACTAAATTATTTTTTTTTTCTCCATATTTCAACAGATAGAAAGAAAATAACAGTGAAAAATAATCTAAAACCATTTTAAAGAGATAAGCTTAGAATTATCATCTAAAAAAAAAAAAAAAAAACTTTATTAAATTGATTCATTACTGTAAGAAATAATAATGAATTCTGCTAATGGTATATTCCATTGTCAAATGATTCAATTTTAAAACAATAAAATAATTATTTTTATTTACTATCGAAATACAGAAAAAGAGACTAAAATAAAAGCACCGTTAAAATAAAAAAAAAGAAGTTAAAATTAAAACAAAATAAATGTTATTGAACATTGCTAAATAGATAAAATTGAAATCGAAATGAGCTTAAATATTTAATGAGTTTCATTTTTATCACTACAAATTGATATTAAAACAAAAAGTTTAATTAGAATATAAGAATAAAATAAATTGTTAAATGAAACGCATAAGGAGTAAACAAACTCATAAACGGAACAAAGCCTAAAAATTAATCATAAATTTTAAAACAAAACATCATAAATTTTGTTGAATGGTTGAATCTCAAATTCAAATGAATTAGTAAAATATATCAGTCTCAGTATATACTTTTATCTTTTCCGATTCAATTACTAAAAATAATTTTTGAATTTTTTAGATTTTATAGAAATATTCAATTAATCTTCTTTGTTTTTTAAAAAAAAAAAATTTCATATCACATAATTTGAATAAATACCACTCTTTCCTCTCCAAATTGTCCTATAAAATGACCCAATACAATGACCCAATAAATTTATTTATTTCACTAACTTATTTTATCAACCAATAATCATTAGCCAATTTTTCAATTTCAAATCTTAAACTACTGATTCCATCATTTTATAAAAATTAAAATGAAACCATAAATTTCTGTCTGAAATTAAATTTATAATTTTGACAATAATTACACTACATAAATAATAAATAGTTGATTTGGGAGAAGGTGCAGATAAAGAAATGCTTAAAAAATCAAGAGGTAGAAAATGAAGAGGAAAGAAAAAAAAAGCAGCAAATATTGAAAATTATATTTTAAAATTGAACAAGCAGGAAAGTAAATCAAATAATTGCTTCTGAATAAACAGCACAGGGACACGTGAACTTCACGTAAAAAATTATTTGCTTTTCTTTTAACAACCGGAAAAAAAAAATT